GGTCTACCGCCATATGTCGCCTACCCAGGTGCAGCCTGAGGTCTATCGCGTGATGATGATAACATGTTTATTTTTACCTTTCTTCCTTTAATATAACTTTAATTAGAAAACCAATTATCTATTTAAGTCATTCCTAGGATATGTACAAATTAAGTGTTTATCGCTAAAATAAATGTATGGAAATGTGTGATATCCATGAGGGATGGATAATGCAGCGGTAGACCTCACGCTATAGTACTAACGAGAGGTAGACCTCACGCTATAGTGTGGTAGACCTCACGCTATAGTAGCACCAACTTTTGTTCTGAAACACAAATAATGCATGTTCATCTAAACTATCAACTGTTAACTCATTGTACCTATACAATCAACATTAAATGTGTATTTCTTAATAAATTAATTGTTTATTTATAGTTTTTTATACTGATTTATGATTTAGTAAAATGAAGGAGATAAATTTTCCCATGTTGAGACTACACAAACTGATATGATAGCTAGGGCAATAAGATTGGAAAATGTAGTTTTCAACTTGAATAACTGCTTTAAACTTAAGTCTGTTAGATTTAAAGGATAAACTTAGTTAATATTCTACTGTACTGTTAGAAGTATTAGGAATAAAATAAAGGAGTTAAGGGCTCAAGTTACAGGCCACTTGATCAGACAGATGATGTCAGTAAGAAATTATGTAATGAGACCAAGGTTGTTATTAATAAGGATACAGATACAATAATTATAGGAGACTAATTTCAGACATGGCTTCTATTAATTATCACAAACTGACCACAAAGTACAAGAAGCTGAATAAACAAGACACAAAATATATAAAGTTATTGGATAACATACAATGTTAGCAAATAATTTAACAAAAATACTGTAATGAATTGATGAAACAGCTTAACTGCATTGTAATAATCCATTTTTATGGTTTCTGGACATTAAATTAAAACACAGTTGTGACCGAGAATATATGACCTTATTATATGTGTATTTGTGGTAATTAGTATGACTATTGAACATGATAATTGGAACTTTATGGAGTCAAATAGTGAGGGAAAGAAGTTTTTGATGATTTTCTATACCAAATTGTCAGAAAGAATGCCATTTTAGGTTTACTGCTTTAATGAAAATTTCTTTGCAATAATTAAAATGGGGAACATTTCGGAAAGATTGATCATTGCATAATCAGGTTTGATTTTCTCATACATACTGAGATACAAGAAATAAAATTTTAGTTCCTAATTTTCAGAAAGCCATAAGACAAGATGTATTTTTAATGAAATCAGAAAATAACTTAAATAATGATGTAAGGCAGATTTGGAAAATTTTTAAAAATAATTTGCTTTTAACTCAAGACAGGGTGTAGTATCTGAATATATCATGGATTTCTATCTTCTTGTAATATCAATTACTTATTCTGAAAAACACTATTAATAAATGGTATTTTTTTCTCCATTCCAATTAGATAGATTGTAAGCTTTTATTAATTGTGATTTAGTGCTGTAAATGTAGTTAAGATTTTTACCAACAAAATAAAATATATATTTTTTAAGTCTCAAGTATGGAGCCTAGACTCAACAAATGTCCAAAAGAGGTTCCTTTTGTTGGTGTGTTCTATAGTTCTACATGTAGATCATTCATCATGATTACATATAAAATACTTTATAACACTAGTTAATTAAACAAAAAAAAACTGTAATCCAACAGACATAACCAAAATACCTTCAATTTTCGAGTCTTTTCATGTTTCTGTTCAGTTTTCATTCCCTGAAATTGTACTTTTACCAATTTTTTATTTAACTAGTGTAATAAAAAGAAGTTTCTTCATAATGAATTCTCCTAGTTATTAAATGTTTTTAATATATTCATTTTTTTTTACTGGGAGGGAGGATCAGTCTTTAGGGTAAATCTATGTTCTGGTGGTACAAAGTATTCAAGACAGTGGGCCAGGAAGGTATTAGCATATTTAGTAATGTGGTAAGACTCACTGAAGGTATTTATCTAATTTACTTCATCTTATTTTGTCAATGAAGTTAGTATTTTCATCAACAAACAAGTGTATATTTATACAGGATTTGTTATAGCATAGGTAATAATACATCAACTAATAAAATAAAACATGTTTAATACTTACACTCACAATATTTAGTTTGATATATTCAAGTATGAGTTCTTGGTTAGGTTTGAATTTTGCGCAAAGCTACACGAGGGCTATCTGCACTAGTCATCCCTAATTTAACAATAAAAGATAACAGGGAAGGTAGCTAGTCATCACCATCCACTACCAACTCTTGGGCTACTCTTTTACCAATGAATAGTGGCACTGAACATCACCTTATAATGCCCCACCACGGCTGAAAGGGCAAGCATGTTTAGTGGGACAAAGATTCCAACCCACTACTTGCAGATTGCAAGTCGAGTGCCCTAACTACCTGGCCACAAGTTCTCGCTACCAAAATACACACATTATATGACAACTTATAATTTTGGTATTAAACTAATACTAACAGTAATATATATATCACGAGAGTATTATAAATTATCACTATCAGATAATGTGTATATTTTGGTAACTTTTAATGTGCATTTCGGTATTAAGAGTGAACCGACCACCAACTTACAATTACATCATCAATCATACTCATAGCTTTATCATAAGGTTTATGATCAATTAATAAAATACCTTGGCTTTATTAAGCCTTATGTCCTACCACTTCTTCCTCAGTGGCCAAAATTCTATTCTAAATAGTGTAGTTTTCGATGTCATCAGTCAGCAAGATGGTTTCTTTGGCGGCTGCCATCTCACTTTCCTTATTCAATAAGTTGTTAAGATCATATTATGCTGAAGAACGTCCACGGAAAGCAGATGTGATTGTGCGTTGCTAAGTTCTAAAATAAAATTAAAAAGTAAACTAAAAACAGTAAAAGAGCAAGGTCGCTCGGAAACTTGCCTTAATGACTTAATTAACTTTTAAATTTTAGTTATAATTTAAGCTTAATTAAATTGAGCTAAAGTTACATTT